AGAAACATCAACGTGTGGTTGCCTCTCACACACCCCCTGCGGGGGACCTGGCCCACAACCCAGGCATGTGCTGTGACTGGGGATCGAACTGGTGACCCTTTGGTTCGAAGGCTGGTGCTCAGTCCACTGAGCCACACCAGCCATGGCAGAAGGAAGAACTTTCTAAAGGTGCAGATAAGGTAGTTATTTGTCAGGCTATACCTGGTGGTGCTAATCCTAAAGAATGACTTTAATTTTCAGTCTGGTAGTCAGAATGTCTACTTTCCTGTTAGCTTTGCAAACAGGAAAATAGACTGTTTGGCAGACTGGGACAATGCTGCATTGCCCCAGTAGAAGGGTTACTTTGCCCAGTCGAAACATTCCAAAAATTTGAGGAGGAATCCATGCTGGGCAGTCCATCTGGGGTGGCAGCTTCAACTCCATTTGGAAGTGTCTTTGTTTATATATTATCTTTCACACAAATAATGAACCAATATCGACACATTATTAATAACTATCTGAAGTTTATTCTCATTTCCTTAGCTTTTACCTAATATCCCTTTTCTTTTTTTAAGATTTTATTCATTTATCTTTAGAGGGGAAGGGAAGGAGAGAGGGAGAGAAATACCAATGTATGGTTGCCTCTCGTGCGTCCCCTGCTGGGAACTGGCCTGCAACCCAGGCATGTGCCCTGACTGGGAATCGAACCTCAGTTGTTAGGTTTGCAGGCCCACACTCAATCCACTGAGGTACACCAGCCAGGGCTGATATCCCTTTTCTAATCCAGGATCCCATCTAGGCAACCACGTTATACTTAGTTGTGATGTCCCCTTAAGTTCCTCTTGGCTGGGATAGTTTCTCAGACTGGCTTTAAAAAAATTTTTTTTTATTTTACTACCATGCAGTTTTGACTGGTCAGGTATATTGTAAGTTCCTTTAGTTAGAATTTGTCCAATGTGTTCCTCATGATTAGACTGGAGGACGTATGGGTTTAGGGGCAAAGATCTCAAAGGTAAAGTGCAATTTTCATCACATCACATCAAGAAAACTGTTAGTGTGATTCATCACTGTGGTGTTGACAGGCCTGGGTCTTCAGTCCTTTTCAGTGTCCCTTCAGCATGATTCCAGGGCCTCGGGATGGGAGCTGTGCTCTTTCCAGTCCTCGAGACAAGCATATCAGTCTGTTAACTCACGCTCCTCGGTTAGACCATAAACTCCATGAGGCAGGGACTATGCTACTGGAGCATCCTCAGTGATGAGCCAAGTTCCTGGACAACAGTAGGCCATTAATAAATGTTTGTTAATTTGGTTACTGGAAAGATGATGGTGCCATTTTTTCCAAAATTACACCCTGTTCCAAAATGTCCCTCTTTTTCCCCACCAATTTCTCCACCTAAGTGCAGGCAAATCTCAGCTGTTTGGAAAGCAATCTGATTAAAATAACTTGGGCCAAGACATAAATGACTGTTAGGGCTGGAAGTATGTACCTTTTAAAGGAACCAGTTTGTGAAATTTAAAAATCTCTCCTTGGGAGAATATTATGGGTGTGGATATATTTTTGGGTAGAGGTGGTCTTTATTTCAGTTCTATACCCCACTCTAATTCTGAGCCATACCAGCAAAAAAGGGATCTGCTTCTTGCTGTCCATTCAGAAAGGCTGCCAGCTGCCAGGCAAGTGGTTCTGTTGGCATCCCCTATAGGCCAAGTTCCAGTGGACAGGATCGCCTACAGCAGGTCTGGGACATTGTCCGGCTCCTAGTGTAAGTGCACTGACATTCTGCTGGGTGGAGAGCAAAGGGAAGCCCAGCAGCTGCTGTAAGGTGGGCAGAGTCTGAGGAGGCAGACGAATGTGCTTGCTGGTGCTGATGCTCAGCTGGGAGGGATAGGGCAGAATTTTGAGCTGCTGGGGTCCAGCAATGGCTGATGGACAGGCTAGGCCTCCTCCCTCCTCCTGAGGGGCTCCAGGGTCCCAGTCTTACCCTAACATCAGTCATAGCAACAGACCAGAGTTGTGCAAGAAACTGAGAAAGGAAAAAACATCATAATGCATGCTGAAGTTTAGGAAAGCTATTTAACTTTGTTTGGGTTATTCTCACCCTGGTTCCTCTTCCCTGTCCTGGGTAAGAACACTCCCATCCAAAGAGGATAGCTGGGTCTTGAGTGAGGTCAGCATTTTCATTTCCCTTAATTCCCAGGCATTGCCACACTTGCCAGGGAGGCAGCAAGAAAGAGTGGCAAGGCCATAGCATTTTATATCCATAGAATTAGAAGCTGATGCCAGCCATGCCATGCTTAGCTGTGGGACCTTGGGCAAGTAACATAAAACTCTGAGCTTTACCTTTTCTAATCTGTGAAATGGCAGCGATACCCCTCATCACCTGTCCTTGTGGTGTTCCTTTGAGTTCATGCTCATGATATTGTGTGGTAAGTAAAGTGTCTTCCACGTATTTGGTAGATGTTGTCTTCACTGCCATCATCATCCCCTTCAGGGAAGAGGAGCAGGGTGGGGTGTGGAACATACAGAACTCAGTTGCTCCCCCTTTCTCTTATGACAGCCACCGGTACACATGAGGATCCAGGGCTGAAGGACAAGTCCCTGTCCTGAGAATATCCTGCCCTGACCTCCCTAAAATCTAAGGAGATAGGAGGGCCAGGGCTGCCCTTGGCATAGCATCCCACTTTTGCAGAAGTCTCCTTGGCCCTGCTGGTGCTTCTCTGGGCCCAGCCCTCCTGGAGAGTCACACTGAAGGGACCCCTTGTGGGAATCTCTGGATTCTCCTGCAAGGATTTTGGCTTAGGAGAAAGACTGGGCAGCATGTTGACAGGAGAGGTAGGGTGCCCAGAGCCCTCCAGGGCTGGGTCTTGGGTTTCTGCCCCTGTCCAGCAGGCTGCCTGGACAGCAGAAAAACTTTCATCTTTCACAGGACAGCTGCCCTGCAGTCAGGGAGGGTGGGAAATGGTGCTCCCAGGAATGGCAGCTGTCTGGTGACTTTCTTTTCTACACTCTTCCCTAGTGCATTCCCGCCTCTCTGCTTGTTCTTGGGAGCATCACTGACCAGGGCTCCCAGGGGCATGGCGGAGGCAACCAAGGCAGCCAAGGGTATAGGCCCAGCTAGGGTCTTGTGGGGAGGACGTTAGCATGGAGGCTGTTTGATGTTTTTGCCAGAGCACATTTTCTCTTCTCTCAGCAGCTCTACCTCTCCTGGCTTTACCACCTGTGTCCCTCCCTTTCCCCTTTACTCAGTTTCTGTTGGGGGTGCTGCCTGTCAGCCAGCCTTTGTTCCATCTCGCAGCCTCTTGTGCTTGTTTTTGGGTGCCTTCCTGTTCAGTTTACCTTCTTCTGGGATTTCTTTCCTCTCCTGCTGTCTCCTGCCATCTCTTTTTATCTCGCTTCTGTGCCTTGGGCTGGGCCAGGGGGTGGGGGATGCACCCTCAGTATTGGCCAGGAGCATGTGTCACCAGTCTCTGGCTGACTCAGTAAGATGAGCTTTCCTATGCCACCTGTCTGTGGCCCTGGATGATGCAGGCTGTTTGTCTTGAGACGGGAGAAGGCTGGGGCTGGGAAGCCTTTTGAGTCTGTCAGGCCCTTTTCGTTTGTCTGCCAAGGGCCTAGCTCCTCTCAGCCCCATGTCAGGAAACAGAGGCCTTCCTGTGGTTAGATAACAACTAAAGGAGGAAGGAAGGGAGTCAGAGGACAGGACTAGGGCCCTTTTCCTGCGCAGTTCTTTGTTTCTTTTTCCCATTTCCCAGCAGAAGGTAGAAATGGGAGAAGGAAGCTGAGGAAAGAGTTGGGGGGTGATGGCGTTAACAATATTAACAGTTGATACTCAAAGAGCATTGCCGCTTGCTAGGCACAGTGCTCAGCAGCCCTGACATGCTATCCCTTTTCACTGCAAATTACAGAAACAGAACTCTACCCCGTTTAGGCAAGGAAGGGATTCTCTGTTCACAGAGACAAGCAGCAGGATAGACAGGGCAGCACTGGTTTGGGACGATGGGCAAGGAGGACACTCAGCCAGGACTCTGTTCCTGTCCCTTCTCCCAGTCCCCCTCCTGTCAGCTCTTCCCCTGTCTGCTGCTGGCCGACTTCTCCCCTTCCCCACATTTCACAGCTGGGCTGCTTTCAGCCTTTCTCCTTGGACCCAACATGGCAGCCCCTGGGAAACACTAAGTCACACCCATTCCTTTTAGCTTCAAGGGAGGGGCTGGGATTGGAGTGGGGAAGAGCCACCTCCCCCACAAAAGGAGATATCCTTATTAGAAGGGTTGGTTGTTGGCAGACAAAGGATAATTGCCCATGAATGAAGGCTATTTTATCTAATCCTCACAGCTCCTGAAGTGCATATTATTATTCCTGTCTTACTGTTTCAGAAAGAAAGGCTCTGAGAGGTAGAGTAACTTGCTCAAGTACACAAAGGCACTTGGCGTAGAGGCAGGGTAGCACCGTGGTTCCGAGGAAGGACTCTGGAGCTACGTTGCTAGGCCCTACCACTTTCTGGCTTTGTGACTTTAGACAAATTTCTTAACTTTCCTGGCCATAGTTTCTCCATCTGTATAATAAGAATGATCGTAACCACAGCCACTTCCTAGAACTGCTGTGAGGATTAAATGAACTTGACATGAATGCCTATAAATGTTTAGTATTGTTACTGTAGAGCTTTACAGTTTACAAAGAACCTTCTCACATATTATTTCATTTGACCTTTATAGCAGGAACACAGACAGGGGAATGGGTTAGCTAGTGCCCCCTCACACCCACCCCATACTCCCACTAACCAACTCCCCACCCCCCATGATCAGCTGCACAATTCTGTAATTACTTAAACCAAACAAACAAATTGCCTTCTGAGTAAACAGCTCTCTCTCCAACAAGGAAATATAAATTCTCTCTCTGGCTGAGCTGGCAGTCACTGTGTATTCTACTATTTTTCTCTTTTGAATATGTGTGAAATTAGAGGTGTTGGGGAGCTTATGTAAGTGTTCACCCCAAGGCGCCCCCTTCATCGTGGCCCTCTTTGCAGGGCTGATTTGACTTCCTTAGGTGTCTGAGCCCTGCAGCTTCAGCCTGCCGGACCAGGGTTGGAGCAACAAAGAATGGCACTGGCCTGGGTGGTAAGTCTCCTGGGGATCCACAGTGCGGGTGGCCCTCCTGAGGGATGAGGGGTCCAGGGCCTGGAACCAGTAGCTCACAGCAGGAAGACTACCCTTCCTTTACTAGCAGGGAGACAGAACGAGCTGGGTTGAAGTTTGGAATCCATCTTTTTTACTCACCAGGTGACCTGTGTGCCTTAGTTTCTTTCCCTGTAAAATGGGTTTGATGGTAACACATACTCCATAGGCTATTTTTAAGAATCAAATGAGCATAAACATTTAAAGTACTAAAAAGATTGTTTTAAAATGTGCCCATATTTTCAGAACATGCTGTTTTATTGGTATAATTGAATGTCTACCTGTAAGCATAAATGTTTTGAGGCAATTTGTGTATTGCTAAACAGCAATTTATACAAGATGCTGTCCACAACTGATTATGCTTATATATTTACTTACACAATGTTAACTTTATGACCAGCTTAAATATTCTGGGGGTGTGGGGTATATATAATATTTAACAAATCGTGATTCAGATTGTACCATTACATGTTTCAGTGCAGCATGGTTACTAATGCTATGTCAGACTAATATTAAAATCAGAAACTTAAATGCTGGTGCTGGTCATACATTTTGTTTAGACTTCCTCATTTTTGAAATATAACTATATTTGTTCAAAGCATGCATACAAATTTCTGTATTGAAATATACTTTAAAAATCCAAGATGCTTCCAATTTGTGTAATATTTTCTTGGGGGTACTTGTATTTAGATATCTTGAAATGAATTGAGTCCCTAAGGTTTCCATGTGAAACAAAACAAAAAATGGGTTACCTGTAATGTCATTTGTACCTGAGTTTTCTAATGAGTGAATTTGCATTATAAATTTTTTCCATTCATAAATACATAAGTGAACCAAAAAAAAAAGTACTAAAAATACTGCCTGACCTGTGTTGTTTGTCGTGATGATTACTGTTACCTTAAATATCCAATCCAGACTCCTAGACTGGGCCTCACATATAGGCTTTCCATCTTAGAATTTTTACTTCCTCTCATTTCTTTCCATGGAGTCCATAGAAGGACTCCTATGTTTCAGGCCGACCTCCGCCCTCCACACACACCCTCAAACTCCCAATCTCCAGCAGCTGGCTTATTCCCACTGCCAAACTCACTGTTATGTGCTCTCTAGAAGACTCACCAGTCTTTCCTGCACCTTCCCTTCCACACTCCAGTCAAGGCTGCTGCCCCAGAAAGTATGCAGTGTGAGTGGGACTGGGCTTTGTGTCACTGTGAGGAGCTCCAGCCCTGACCTCTTTGGGGAGTTGTTGTTCTCCAGCCATTGGTTCCAGAGCGCCCACCTCACATGCATGGACCTGGGGTTGCAGGCACACTGGCAGCTCCATGAGGAAAGGGAGTTCTGAGCGACCTTCCACAAGGGGCTAAAGAGGAAGAAGAATCCACCCTTCGTATTACAAAAATGGATGAAACTTGGTCATGGCTCTGGATCACTGTGGCTGGGGAACATCAAGGCCAAATTGTTTAAGGGCACAAATTAGGGGGTGTGAAGCCACAGTGTGGTCTTTAACTATTTCCAGGCCACTGGTCACGCGGAACATGAGGTAAAGGGAGAACACATCCCATCCTTGAAAGCAGCCCTGATACAAAGAAGGAGGGAGGAGAGGAGTATTGGGCCTGGCCAGGAAGGACCCCAGGAAGCTGCCTGTAGACTCTTCATGTCACAGAGCTGTCAAGTAGCTATGACTGTCCTTTTGTTCTCCACTTTCTTTTTTCTCCGGTACATAAAACCCCAAAGCATCGAAGATGGGAGGCAGGAAGATGAGCAGTTTAGAGAGGAAGGTGCAGCTGTGCATGAGTGCCAAGGATGCCTGGCTGCCCCAGTGCAGATAGGGGACAGGGAATCATTGGGGGTTGAAGGGGTGCTAGTGAGTATCAACATTTTAGCTGTTCCAGCACTCAGGCGTTGTGATGTCTAAATTCTCGTGAAAGTAAAACACCTTCAAAGCCACAGGTTGGGCATTATCTGCTGGTCTGTACTGACCACTTCCTGAAGTTCCATTCATTAGTAGGCGTAGTAGAGAGCTGGTGGTGCACTCAGACTGCACTGCTCTCATCAACTCTGAGGCTGGGGCACCTTACAGGGCTGCAGGGGCCAGTCCCTGTCTCCACACAGACCTTGCTCAACACAATCAGATCAGACTACTGTCTTCCTATTTTCCTCCCAAACAATAAGACTAATATCTTAGAATATAAAAGATGCACCTCTCTGTCAGTAAATAGGGACAATTTGTCCATGATAATTTTGAGTCCTGGACCTTGTCGGTTTTCAGTCCTTAGCCTGGCCTTAGACTGTTCAGATCTGTGCCAGAGTAGCAGTCACCTGCACCACAATCACCCACAGTATAGCCAGGGTGATTGGAAAGGACTTTTTGATTATCCCTTTGCTCCCTCTTGAGAATGAGGACCTTTTAAGAGATAATTCCACCACTGCCCCCTGACATCTTCAAGCAAAGCTGGTCTTCTAATGGAGAGCCAAAGGAACTTATCAGGTGCTTCCTCTCTGTCCCCTTTCATTGCCCTGGTTACCTTCATTTCTGCAGGTGCCTTGCCAGGCTGCCCAAGTACTCAGGCATGTCTCAGCCTTCCCTGCTGTCCCTCCAACTCTGGCCTGCCCACCACCCAATCCCAGCACACCAGAGCAGCAGACAGGAGTTGGAGTGGAGGTGTGGGTCCTGGGCCTGGCTCTGCACCTGACTAGTTGGATGGACTGACTACATTGTTTCACTGTTGGGTGGGGCTCAGTCTCCTTAAGTAGAAAGTAAGAGCTTTTATCTCAGTCTTTCTGACTCCGGCATTCTAAGATTCTAAATCCATCTGGTAAACCTTACATCCTGATTATATACTGTTTGTACACAATGGAATTTTCACCAGCTTCTTTTGGCAGAGATACATCATAAGCTAAGTCATGTCCCTTGGCATAGGGTAATAGTCTAAGGTAACCAGATAGTCTAAACAATGGGGCTCAGGCATTCTGTGACCCCATAAAAAGGTTGAAGAGAGTTACTTAAGGCATGCTCTCTATGGAGTGAGAGATTTCGTCTTTCTTTGGGAATCCTGCCAGTGTCCAGGCCTTGGTGATACCCCTAGGTGTATTTTCAGTGGGCTAACCTGGAAAAGAAGCAAGCAGGTGGATGGATGCAAGGGCAGGGGAGTGAGACTTTGGGGGCTGAGGGATGGAGGACTAAAGGTGAGACAATGAAGTTCCACTGTAATTTGGATCTTTTGCATTTTACAGGGTGGTTGTTTCTGAGTTATTTTTCACAATAGAACTGGGTATTCTGATCTACCTCACTGCTGCTTGGAATCAAAAATAATATAGCATGTTGTTATATCATCAGCTAGTGGCTTCTTTTTCCAAGCAGCTTTTACCCAGCAATTATGTGAAATTATGTGACTCAGTATGGAAAGATAATTGCCAGAGAAACTCTTCTGATTGCTTTCTCCCGCACATGCAGAGAGCAGCCACACCAAAAGGCAGGACGATCAGGGAGGAAAATTAACATGGAAGCGCTGCTGCCACCCAAAATGTCAGCAGTTTGCCAAATGTAGAAATGAATGAGGACATGGGAAGGATAAAAAAAATGGAAGCAGAGTTTTTTCTCCTAAGATGACATGTATAAAGGAAGCAAAATGTCTCCGGTCCCATTTTCCAGATGGGGAGAATGGTCTAAACGCTCTAGAGTTCGGGTAGAGTGAGGAGGCTCCAGAGCTGCCCTCAGGCATCCCAGGCAGGGGTCCTGGGCCTCAGAACGAGGGCCTCCCCACAACATGCACATTGAGGGAAATGTAATGTTCCTGAACCCTCTCTCCCAGCTCCCCTTCAATCTACTTTGCTTTTCCCTCTCCCTGAAATCCCACCCTCCTGTCTTTCTTCTGAGAACAGGATTTATCACTTCTTAACCCGACCCTTGGCCCCTCTCTGGCCCCAGCCAGACTCAGGAAGCCCAGCGTCCTTTTTTGGGAGAAAGGAGTGTGTGGTAACTTGGAAGGGCTGTGCGGAAGGGAGCAGAGGACCAGAGAAAGTTTCTTGGTGCAGCTGTGAGAGAAAGGCATTTTATGTCCCTTCAGAGGCTCTACACTTGGCCACTTGACTCAGGGTCAATGCTAGTGGTACCAACGACATTTTAACAAATGGGTGTCGGGGGTCCAGGGGCACCTTGAGGAGGCCTGTGCTGAGGTTTGGCTGGTGCAGCCCAGTCCAGGCAGCTGCTTGAAGGAGTGGGGAGTTGGTTACTTTCCATATCTATAACAGTATTTCTATCAACACACCATAACCTGATCAGAAATGTTTTCTTTAGAATACAAAGACAGGTCTTTATTCTTTAGCATGGCATTCAAGATCCTCCATAATCTGACTCTCAACTGTTTCATCAGAATTCTCACCTCCGCCCCCACCCTCCCCACATGGTTTACTCAGCTGGGCTTTTCACTGTTTTGGAAAAAATGGCAAATACTTGGCAGACTACTGTCACAGCTCCCTCTTGTGTTGTGCAGGCGTTACTAATGGGTGAAGGCCCTTTCTCCCACTGGACTCCATTCAGAATTCTAAGGAAATCACTTTAGGCAGCCACCATTGAATGAAATGCCTGGAAGTTCCACTTGAACTGAACTTGAACTGAACACTTTTGTTATCCCTACTTTCCATTTTCCCTTCTCACTGTCTTTCTTTGTGCTGTTTTCTCTGCCAAAATGCCCTTCCTTTTCTCTCCTCTTATCCCTTTTCTTCAAAATCCCATCATCCTACTTTCAAGGTTCAGCTTGAAATGTCAGTTCCTTCATGGATCTGTCCCAGGTTCCCTGCTGTGTTTCCTGCTCTTCCTTTCCTTGCCCTGATGGACTGACTCTCCTTGTATGTCCTCTCTGCTGCTTGTGAAGCGCTCTTCCTATTTGCTGACATCAGAGCCCTTTGCTTCTAAACCCTGCCTTTCCTTGGAAGCTGAGGCTTTA